TGCGCTGAAGTCGTACAGTTTGAGCTGAAGCTGTGTTACGAGTGAAAAAGTCGCACAGTGTCCGCCCGGCTTATTATAATGTTCACTGTAATGCAACTTGATGTTCTTAACAAATAAATTAAATCAATAATGCCAAATATGTAAATTTGTGTTTCATTCATTTTTATACTGGCTTAAAAATACTTCATTAAGTCTACTAAGCAGGGGTGTAGAACGTGTTTAACAGGCCAAGCCCAGTAGTGATCTTGGACCAAAATAAAGGGGGCAAAAGAAGATGTTTTTCCAGACGCCAAGAAAAATTAAATGCCAAATCCCCCCGCAAAGTGTGTCACTGAGAGTTTAAAACAGAAATTATTCTTGTGCAAATATTGGTGTATTCACCTTTAATACTAGTTATTACAATGCAGCAGTCGCTGGATTGGTGCAGTTCAAAGTGGAGTGCATCAAATAAAACAATATTAACATAAAGGTGAGACGTGTCATAGTCCCCCCCCCCCCCCCCCCCCCCCCCCCGCCAACACCACCTCCACCACAGCTGGAAAAATTCCTAGGGGAAACACTGAACTAAGCACAATAAAGGCATTTACCGACCGCAAAACGGTGGAGTGTATGCTGCACGGTTGCACCAGTGAGGTGAAGTCACCGGACCACAGGTGATGAGTTCTGCTGCAGCGGAGTGCGTCACGCACTGCTGAAAGGCAGAAACTACCAGAAATAATCTGAGCAGACATGAACGATCGTGTGCTAGTGGCCGTGCGCAGACGCAGCTGCCTGGAGCACATCACCGATCAATGCTCAGCATCTTCTTCGCTTTAAAGAATCCCTGATTTGCTGAGAGTCCATATAATCAATGTTTTATATGTAGAAACCAGTGCGTGACTAGTGAAAAAAACAGAGGGGGGGGGGGTATTTTCTCCTTTTGAAATTGATGAAAAAGGAGTAATGCTGACATGTTTTTCATCTGTGTGCGCATGCACGAGTGGCTGGGTGGCTAAAACAAACATTGTGGCCTGCAATCACTATGCGACGTACTACGGCTGCACTATATTAGGAAAACCTGTGATATTCGATAACAGTGCTTAATATTGCGATATCGATATTACTCACGATAAATGAACAAATACTAAAGTATGCAGTGTTGATGTCGTCTGGCGTGTGACGTCTGCTCTGGGTTCAAAGCAAACAAAAACTAATGCTTGAATTCCATTACAACATAACATTTTTATTGCAAACATATGCAGCTCCATCTGCTACTATATTAGCAGCTACACCTGCTACTGTATTAGCAGCTGCGCCTGCTACTGTATTAGCAGCTGCGCCTGCTACTGTATTAGCAGCTGCGCCTGCTACTGTATTAGCAGCTACACCCGCTACTGTATTAGCAGCTACACCCGCTACTGTATTAGCAACTGCACCCGCTACTGTATTAGCGGCTGCACCCGCTACTGTATTAGCAACTGCACCCGCTACTGTATTAGCGGCTGCACCCGCTACTGTATTAGCGGCTGCACCCGCTACTGCATTAGCAACTGCACCTGCTACTGCATTAGCAACTGCACCTGCTACTGCATTAGCAACTGCACCTGCTACTGCATTAGCAACTGCACCTGCTACTGCATTAGCAACTGCACCTGCTACTGCATTAGCAACTGCACCCGCTACTGTATTAGCGGCTGCACCCGCTACTGCATTAGCAACTGCACCCGCTACTGCATTAGCAACTGCACCCGCTACTGCATTAGCAACTGCACCTGCTACTGCATTAGCAACTGCACCTGCTACTGCATTAGCAACTGCACCCGCTACTGTATTAGCGGCTGCACCCGCTACTGTATTAGCGGCTGCACCCGCTACTGTATTAGCGGCTGCACCCGCTACTGCATTAGCAACTGCACCTGCTACTGCATTAGCAACTGCACCTGCTACTGTATTAGCAACTGCACCTGCTACTGTATTAGCAGCTGCACCTGCTACTGTATTAGCAGCTGCACCTGCTACTGTATTAGCAGCTGTACCTGCTACTGTATTAGCAGCTGCACCTGCTACTGTATTAGCAGCTGCACCTGCTACTGTATTAGCAGCAAAACAACAAACTGCATGCATGCAGTTTCTCAGTGACTTTAAAACATCACCTCCACCATAAAACTTTTTCTGATGCTCCAAATACAGAAAAACATCCCTTACCAGGGTTTTTAGAATAAATAAATACATCAGAAAATAAGTTTAAATGTTAAATAATAGTTGACATCACTTAAATGCAACAGCAAATTCTCTCATTGCTACTGAACATTTTCTCCACTTATGTGGTTATGATATAAGGCTGTTGCTGTAACTGGGAAGTGAACTGTGCTGGGCCAAACTAGGAGAATATTAAGATTTTCTGAGGGAAAGAGAAAACAATTGTCTACCTTTCAGAAGAGGAACTGGCAAAAAACTACATGGAAAATATGTGAAAACGTTTGGTTTTAACCCTAAACTGAACAAGTTTAGCTAGATCTTAAAAAGCAGCTCAGATGATGAAACTGCAACTATGATTCTGATAACAAGCTAACAAATTGAACTAGCTCCTCTAAGATAACCGGCTAGCAGAGCTTCTGACTGACTGTTTATGTGCAGCAGCAAATCAACTATCCTGATTAACAAGGTTATAAAAGCTCATAAATGAAAAATCACTTTGATGTGTGGGGGAACTTTTCCAGGCCCTCTTTAGCAGGGTGGGACTGGGAGGAGAGTGCTGTAGTCTTTTAGCTGGAAGCTAATCGGAGCCTGGGGCTAACGGTGGGTTGGTTCACCGGCACGTGCCGGAGTCAGGCCGGTTATTATCAGCTGCTTAACGACACCGAGCGGACTCACGTTCACGTTTGAAAGCAGCGCTGATTCCAGAAACATCAGCACAAAGTGCGTTTGTTGCTCTGAGCCAGCATGACGAACAAGGGAACGGCGTCGCTAACTCAGTTTGGGTGTTGCTTTCCATCCTAAGGGTCTACGTAGGGGGCGGGCGTATTACGTGAACGGACCCATCTGATTGGCCGCATATCAGAAGGGCTACATTTGATTGGTCAACTAATACTTCCGCGTAAAAAACAGAGCTGGTTTACAAAAAGCTGATGTACGACACAGATGGAAATGTTTGAACCAAACATTTATCGATGTTTCTGACGTGCTTTGCGATGGGCCTATCGCACGTCCTGTTATCCCGATGACGATAATTTTTCGATATATTGTGCAGCCCTACGACGTAGAAAGTTTACGCACAAAATCCCCGGTACATAAACACTTGTAATGTCAACTTTATAAATCCTACAATATAATAATAATATTCATTTCAACTTCATTGATTTAGGCACAGATTAATCAAAGCATTATTTAACACCTTGTCCGTTCATTATATGATTATTTAAGTATTCCATTTAGCCATATTGTTCATTTCATTTCATCATTTTTTTTAACATTTCGTTATTTATGAAGTTCATTCTTTATTCTGTGAGGAAAAGGCTAGATAAGCAGCAGCTTGGCAGAAAGACCTTGGTGAAGCAAAACACTGTGTTACCAATGTCAGTGTCAACAGCACTGTAGAGTCTTTCTTGCAGCTTGGAAGATTAGAGGGCACCAGAGGCAGAATATGTCTGTAGATGGCCGGATGCTGAAGAGGTCAAACTGTAGATGAAAAATGATCCTTTCTGGACATTTCACCCTTTACCGTCCAAAGACAGGAGTAGGTTTAGAAAGAAGCTTATTGAAGACAAAACTAAAGTCTTTAACCCTGTGGAGGGTTAAAACCTACCTACCTGGCTACTCCACATACGTATTTCATGAGCATGTTTTAACTCAGAAGTACCGCTGAAGGACTTGGTTGTTCGTTCTTTTGTCAGAACTTATTTAGAGCCTGAGAGGGTTAAAAGCCTGTATGAGCTCCAGGATGACAGAAAATGACGGTCCTATTCACTGGTGTTTTTGTTTTTTGTTCACAAATGTGCCGGGGAGATATTTATTCTTACTTAACAGAAAGCCCTGGACCCTTCACTCATGATAACGTCTGGAGGGCTACGATTTTAAGGGGGGATTTGAGGCCTTCTCCGTAGCAAAATGACTATATCATTGGGGTTATTTAGATTTACTACTTAGTAGGCACAGATTAAATGAGCCTCTTTCAACAGTGGAAGAACCCTTTTGCAGACACGTCTTCTTTTTCTTAATGCAACGTCATCTATGAGGTCATCTGATGCTGCGTTACTTCTGAGCTGAGCTGATGACAGGCTACTCAGGTGTTCTTGTGCACCAGATGAGCCTCAGGTGTAGAAGCTTCACCCCTACTGCACACTCGAAGCAAAAGCGGCGCAAAATGACGGTGCTTCTGATAGAATCCTTTATAGTTTATGGAGTGTAACAAACCAGCCGCACGAGCAGCACACTGCGCCGCTAAAGACGTGCGTTTCAGTTGCACATAAAATAAATGTTGGAGCTTTGCTAATTGTGTCGTGTATTTTTGTTGGTGGGGCAGCAGCAGCTCAACAGGTAGAGCGGGTTGTCCAGTAATCGGAAGGTTGCAGGTTCGATCCCGGCTCCAGATAGAGAATTCTGCTGTTGTGTCCTTGGGCAAGACACTTAACCCATCTTGCCTGCTGGTGGTGGTCGGAGGGACCGGTGGCGCCTGTGCTCGGCAGCCTCGCCTCTGTCAGTACGCCCCAGGGCAGCTGTGGCTACATTGTAGCTCATCACCATCAGTGTGTGAATGTGTGTGTGTGAATGGATGAATGATGCACTGTAGTGTAAAGTGCTTTGGAGTCCTTACTCGGAGAGGCGTTACACAAGTGCGGGTCGTTTATCATTTCATTTTGCTACGCTGAGTGGGACTTTTGTTTTGATGTATTGTGGTATTGGAGATTTGTGGGGGGTGACTATTGTTAGCTGGTGTGTGTGTGTGTGTGTGTGTGTGTGTGTGTGTGTGTGTGTGTGTGTGTGTGTGTGTGTGTGTGTGTGTGTGTGTGTGTGTGGTTTTAATTGCTTTTTTTTGGGTGAATATTTAATGTGTTTATTTAAGCATATCTCTATTTTTCAATAATTGTACATGCTTTTGACTACCTTCTGTCGCTTTTTTGTTCCGTATACGAGGAGGACCCCCATGAAAACGAGATGGTACATCTCAGGAGGTTACCCATCTTTAAATAAATGTTTACATGTAGCAACATAAAGATAGGTTCAGGTTCTAGTTTTTTCCGTGAGTCACTTCTGGGATGCATCAATTTCTGCAGTTAACATAGGGCTAGAAAGGAAATCACACACGGTTTCAGTGTAAAATCCCCTGTAATTTTCAAAATAAAAGTATTGCAGCGATGCTATTTCATATATATGAAGCTTATGTGTGACCTGACGGCTTATTTACTCACAGCATTGTTCCAGAAGTGCAGCGGTGTGTTTTCATGGCTTTAATCCTGGCGGTGGAGAGGAACATCACATCACACATGACATCAAACAGTGATACAAAACATGATTTCTTTCTTTTTGGAGTAATGGCGCATTGCAAAAACAAACTGTAATCTTTGAACCCTCCAGTGATCTTGCGAGGCGAGTGAGGAGCACGGCAGATAAGCTGTGCAGTGCAGTGATTGTCATGAGTAAACCGTTCCATGATGCTTTTGCTTCCAGTGTGCAGTAGTCGTCCCTCAGCAGAAGCAGCTGAAACCAGAAATCCATCAGACTAGCCGATTAGGATTTATTTTGGTCTAAATGAGAAATTACACAATAAAACTAATGTAGATAAGACTACAGCTAATGATATGATTATAATACAATATGAAACCATCTCTCTCACTACTTCGACAGACAGGCTTAGGCCAATGTGTGTGGATGTTTCCCTACTTATTATTTAAATATACACCAATAACAGCATGGACTGAAAACCTGAGAACCAAAGACAATATAATACCGAGGTGAAGGTTTATGCATTTAACTAGACATTTAAGTGAGTCGTGGTGGACGGCTGCTTATACTGAGCCAGGATCTTCTGGAGGTTTCTTCCTGTTAACTGTAAACTGCTGGAATCCAAAACCTAAAGAAATGCTTCTATGGAGTAAGTTTTGGGCACCTCTGGAGGAATGTCCAGGTCAAAAACAAACAAACAAGATGTGTCATTAAAAAGCAAAGCAGAGTTCACTTCCTGTTGTAGTTTTTATTTGTGCCTTCAGACGTAACAAAACATTTTTAATCAAATACCGCCTACAAAAATAAATCATTCTACTTAATACTACACTCAATACATAATCTCACACAAATGAGGTCAAACAACAACTACACAGGTGAGGTCATCTTTTCCCCCAGAAGCTCTCCCGTCTCTTCTGAGCACGCTCCAAGATGGTGGATGCTGCCGAGCAGGAAGCTGCTGACTTCCACGACAGCACTGAGAGACAATCATCTGAGAGCCAAACAAATTTCATGCCAAGTTATTAGTTTGAAAGGTGCTTCACGGTCGTGAGAAAAAGGCTCACCTTCGTCAGCGCTACAGCCTCCTCTTGAAAAAGGAAGGAACCGCAAACCCAGTTCACCTTTTGAGAAATGACACAGTAATCTACTGACACACAGTCATGGTTGTCCTGCTTCCCTCATTTCCTTGGTCTAACTGACCTCTTTTCAGGTTTTTACTGGAATTTGATCAGTTGAGAAAATTGCAGTAAAATCTGCTGAGAAGGAAGTAATGAGGATGGGGGAGTCCCAGAGTCTGTTATCTAACACGAGTCTCCCTTCAGCGCCATGGGAGTTGCCATTTTATTTGTCTTCATGATGCGTGTGACCTCTCAGGCTGGGCTTTTTGCAATGAAGTCAGGGTCTCTGTGTGAGTGGGGTGGGGGGTGTAACAGTGTTTGAACAATAAATACAGAAAGTATTCAGACCCCTGTCAATTTTTCACTATTTGTTATATTGTAGCCATTTGTTAAAATCAGTTAAATTGATTTTTTCCTCACTAAGCACCCCATATTGACAAAAAAACACAGCATTTTAGAAATGTCTGCAGATTTATTAAAAAGACAAACTGAATTAAAGCTGCAAGCAGCGTCGTTCGGCCTTCGCAGCTCCGCGCCGCTCCGGCCTGGCCGGCAGCTCGGGGCACCAGGGCACGTCTGCGGAACAGAAACGTCGACCACCCCGACACCAAAAACCGCTAATGGTCACCTCGTCCGCACCTCACCCTGACTCAGCATCCCCTCTGAGCCCACGATTATATTACACGTCACACCACTAGGGCATACTCTATCTTTACCCCACTGGTGGTGTGATGACACAGACCCACTTTAATGCTTTTCTGACCACGTTTTTTGAAGTTATTGAAGGTTAAATGTATCTAGGGGACATTGTGACCAACCACAGAAAAATCCCATTGAGGTCAGCTTTGGTTGACAAAGATGGTTTTCTGTTATTTTGGCATCAATCAGACGTTGTGTGCTACAGGGATTAAAACCAACAACCACATCAATGTGTTTGGTGCAGTCACGTGATGTCACAAGCCAAGTATAATGCCATTCTGACCTTGTTTTTAGAAGTTAATAAAGTTTGAACCCATCTAGGGGGCGCTGTGACCATTTACAACTAAATCCCATAGAGGTCATGTTTGGTCATCAAAGATGGGTTTCTTTTAATTTGGCATCAATCAAACGTTGCATTAGAGACCAAAATCTGTAAGTGGGCGGAGTTAAAGTGATTTGAATGAGTGAGCACATACATGTGTTGATTGCAGTTGTGTGATGACTCCCACCAAGTTTGTTATAGTTTGGAGCTTTATTGTAGAAGTTACAAAGGTTTTATTGTATCTAGGGGGCGCTGTCCAAAATTTAGGAAATATTCCATGAAGAAGTTTGTAGGTTGATGACAGCCATTTGTTGACAGTTTGGTGTGAATTGCATCATGCATGTGTTATTCAGGGCCTAATATCTGTCAGGGGGCGGAGCTAAAGCAATATCAACCAATGACCACAGGATTGTGTTGGGTGCCTTTGTGTGATGACACATAGCAAGTTTGGTGCAGTTACGACCTCGTCTGTAGGAGTTATTACAATTTTAAAGGTATGTTGGGGCACTGTGGTGACATTATATAACATTCACCAACCATTTGTGCCTCGTTGGCTAAAGGGCATGATTGTTCATTGCCATGTTCTGTCTCGGGCAGATCGGAGGCTGTTTGTGGAAGTTACAGTCAAACGTAAGGTCACGGCGTCACGCCAGAATTCGCCATGGCATCAAAGCCCCTCCCTATCTGGAAAGCTATCAGATCTGAATGGTCATTACAGCATCATGAAGACAGTTCATGACCTTAGTGTCATGATGACTAAATTAGAGAGGACAAATATGGGCATTTCACCGTAAAACAATAGACTTCCTGTAGTCGGGGGGGGGGGGGGGGGGGGGGGCTTAGGTGATGTCAGCTGTCCACATTGTCATTGTCTTGAGATGTGGTCAGTGATCACATAGACAAAGTTTGATATAGATCTGATCATGCACAGGGGAGTTATTAAGTCAAGTAATGTAATGGCGAAAGGTCAAAGTTTGAAGCTTAGCCACACCCACAACTTTCAACTTTTGAAAAATCCGACAGTTGAATTTTCCCCCCCATTTTAAGAGTCTATAGCAGAAGTTTGAAGGCAATTGGTGAAAAGGACGACGGGGCATTATTCTCCAAGCAACGTGTTAGACAACCACTAAATTGAGTACTTGGACCAAAATGGCCGACCTCCTGTGCAACTTTGCGCTTGGCTCCAAGAGACTTTTTTGTAGGTCCTGAGACACCACATTAGTGTACCGAATTTCGTAATCCTCAGTCAAAGCATGGCTTGGGGCAGACTGTTTTAATGGCTCTAGGGGGCGCTAGTTCAGAAAGCAGGCCACGCCCACAATTTCAGCTGTCTATTTCTATTGGGGGTCAGTCTAGGATCACTCACCAGAAGTTTCGTAGTGATATCACGATAAATGAAGAAATGAGAGGCAAACGTATTTCCATGGCGTGATGGCAATTTTCGCCATGCTCCCAAAGCCCCGCCTTTTTTCAAAACCTGCCAGTACTGGAGACCAAGTGACCTCAAGTTGTCTACTGCTATTTGCCAGAGATTCCTGGTGATTGGTTAAAAGGAGTCCAATAGGGAGCTGTGAAAACGAGTGGCGTGGCGACAGGTCAAATTTTGAGGCTTAGCCACGCCCACATCTTTCAACTTTTGAAAAATCCGACAGTTGAATTTTTCCCCTATGCCTTAAGAGTATATAGCAGAAGTTTGAAGGTGATTGATGAAAAGGGCGACGGAGCATCACTCTCCAAACAGCGTGTGTGAAAACCACTAAATCGAGTACTTGGACCAATATGGCTGACTTCCTGTGTGACTTTGCGCTTGGCTCCAAGAGACTTTTTTGTAGGTCCTGAGACACTACATTAGTGTACCAAATTTCGTGATCCTCAGTCAAAGCATGGCTTGGGGCTGACAGTTTTAATGGTCCTAGGGGGCGCTATTTCAGAAAATAGGCCACGCCCACCAGATTTTCACATCAGATTTTTTGGGGGGCCGGACTAGGATCACTCACAAGAAGTTTTGTGGCGATATCTTTATAATTGACGAAATGGGAGGCAAACGTATGGCCATGGCGGTACGCCTGACTTCGCCGCGCCGCCACAGCCCCGCCCTCTGCAGAAAACTCCCATAAAGTGACGCCAAGCAACCCCCACTTGTCTTGGGTTACCAGCTACAAATTTGTGGTGATTAAGTGAAATGGGGCGATTTGGGACCTATCAGAGTAAAACTTGACCTTTTTGGTCCTGAGGGGGCGGGGCTTGTGTAATGTCTTCATCCGACCATTCAGTTAACTTTGTGGGTGGATGACGAATGACCACAGAAATTTTTGTAACTCTGTTCCATTCAGTTAGGAAGTTATGGCAATTTAAAAAAATTTTGGCGAGTAGTCAAACTTCAAGGCCTGGTCCCGCCCCTTCAACATATACGAAAACTCAGAATCCTTGTCTCATTTTTCACATTCTAGGGGGCGTTGTTCAGCCATTTTCTTTGCAATTTTTTTGGGACCTTTAAAATATCAAATTTTTCACCAGGCCTGGCAAGTATGCAAAATATTGTGAGTTTTGGGGTATGATAAGGTCCCCAAAAAGCCATTCAAAGCGGGCACAGAATAATAAATAATAAACGGAGGAAAAACAAGAGGCCTTCGCAGCGCTTTCGCTGCTCTGGCCTAAATATCACATGGTCATCAGTATTCAGACCCTTGGCTCAGTATTTAGCAGAAGCATCCTTTGAGCTAATACAGCCATGAGTCTTTGTGGTAAAAATGCAACAAGTTTCATACACCTGGACTTGTGGATCCTCTTCAGCTCTCCAGTTGGATGGTAAACGTTGGTGGACAGCCATTTTTTAGGTCTCTAGAGATGCTCACCTGGGTTTAGGTCAGGGCTGAAGCGCAAGCATCATCTGGCCTACACCACCTGGTACCAGCACACAACCCCAATCCCCCCCAGAACCCTAAGTGTCTATGTGTAGTTTATAATTGGAATTGGGCACTGGTACCCAAGGTGAGGCTGAGTGAACAGATCTCCCCCTTCAGGTGCTGTCAAGTGTTCTCACCCCCAGGGCCCTAAGTGTACATTTGCATGGAATATCATTGGCGGAAGAGTTTCACGTGCAAATTAAAATTGGGGCGCAAGCAGCAGGAATACTGCAGAGATGAAAACCATACCGCTAATGATGGGTACTGAATTTGATACTTTTTAAGGCATCGACCGAATTCCATAATACCGACTGAGTACCGATTAACGTCATATGAAACAGTGCCTTTTTTCAGTACCCTTGCAGAGCGCCGGCGCAAGAGCGTAATGTCATCAGTCACTGTGGTCGAGCTGTAAACAAAGCAGCAGGGCAGAGAGGAAGCACTCTAAAGTTTGGATCCACTTCACTAAATGGGATGGGTAACTGGGTGTTGATTAAACCAGCAACAATCTAAGTGAGGCCTGATCATCTTAATCTACTCTGGTGGGTAAATAAAGTGTTTAAGGTAAGGTTGGCTTGATTTGTTAGCATCCGTTCAGCTAATGGTGAGTTCACTTTTTCCTTGGAACTCCGAACTTCCGACAGAGGGGGAAAAGAGACAAAAAGGGGTGCATGGAGCTGGGATTTAGTTTGTAAGACACCACAATATTAAAATACAAACTTCCATATGGTATCAAAGTTTGCTTTAGTTTCATTATTAGTTTATAGTACATGGTCTCCTCATCATATTTATTCCAGAGGGCAAAGAAGAGGGTTAGGAGTACATGGATCTGGGTTTTGTTTTTATGTCATTTAGAAACAGTTGTATTAAACACTCATCAAAAACTGGTACCGTTAACTACTGGTATCGATTCGTAGGTACCGGAAATTGGTACCGTATTGATTCAAATGTCAAAGGTACCCATCCCTACATACCACACCCCCTGGACTTACCCCAAGGCCTATGTGCATGTTTGTGTGGTGATGTGAAGAAGCAGGAGAAAGAAAATGTCTGATGATGGGGGGGAAAGGCCTCATGATTCTTATTTGCCCTGACATGCATTGTGAGCTGTAAGGTCTTATGTAGACAGGTGTGTGGCTTTCCTAATCAAACAAAGCTGGACTCCAATGAAGGTGTAGGACCATCTCAAGGATGATAAGAAATGGAAAGCACCTGAGTTAAATATGAGTATCACAGCAAAGGGTCTAAATACTTAGGACAATGTGAGATTTCAGTCTGTCTTTTAATAAATCTGCATAAATTTCTAAAATTCTGTGTTTTTCTGGGGTCTGAATACTTTCCGTACCCACTGTGTGTTTGAAATAAAATGCAGGAAAATAAAATGGCAGATGTTCAAGAGTCACTAAAACAAGTTGATCAAAGCAAAGGGGCCACATCATCCACCAAGAGGAGACACCAAACCCCCTCTGCCCCACAGTTGAAACTTGAAGAGGCCTGGAGAACCAGAAGCACACAACCACACCGCCCCCTGCTGTTTGTTATAACCAACGACAAAAGGCAGCCCTGGTGGCATTCAGACAGTCCAGTCCAGGTCCCGGTTGGTGTCGGTAATGCAGAGCAGACTCAATCCTCTGGTACAGGAACTAATGGGCCCTTAATGGAGGGCCATCCACCAGATAGTCTCTCGTTTTACTTTGATTATTCTCTTCATGGTAGAACCATCGACGTACAGTATAAAAATACGGACATATCCCCACCCATTGCTTCGCCGGGGACAAAGTTGAAGCCAAAAATGGGAGGTTCCCACCACTAAATTTTTTGAACGAGTCACGCCCAGACAATCCGAAAATGGGAAAAGAGGTGGAGCTGAGGGTGGGGCTGTTACGTTTGGAACAGGTTTGGAACAAATAAAACCAATCTTGCTACTAGCTAACTTAGCTAACCCAAGAAGCTTAGAAAGGCACCCGGACCGCAGGGTAGCCCACCCTCATGGCTGACTGGCTTCAGTGCGAGGCTGTAGTCATGCTGGTCACCTGTGGAGATCTAATATGGACTGGAGCTGTTACATTAAAACTAGAGCCAGACCGCTGCGACCCGGAGCCCTGGCCTTTCAGATCAGCTCATTCTCAACAGTGGGAGATCAGCGGGACATTAGCTACATGTTAACGCAAAGCTAATGGAGTTTTTGCGGGTGTTTTTAGCTAGAAAAATGCAGTAGAACGACTCCAACATAAAGGCACCTCCAGCCTGCTTAGTAACAAAATCACAACTAGGTAAGCTGACTGAGGATATCGAGCTTCGCTGGTCCACTGCGGTCAAAAATTTGCGAGTCTGCCGTCGTCAACTTATGCGGCTCTGGGACTCGGCTCACGGTTTCGTGTTGTGCTCCCGACCGGAGACGAGAATGGCGGACTCACAGATCTTTCACCGCGGTGGACCGGCAAAGCCCGATCCTCGGTCAGATACCCAGCAGCCACACCAACACGTTATATTTCAACCAATTTCAACCCATCTTAGACCGAGCAGTGTTATGGTAAACGCATAGAATTTCCCCCATTCAACCAGCAAACTATTAGTGAGAAAAAATGTGGTTGAGCAACTCAAAAGTAAAGCAGCATCAACTAAAAAACCTGTGATCTCCATTCAGAAATCCACAGATTACCAGCATGACTACAGCCTGGCACTGGATTTGACCAATCAGAAATGCTTTAACATACAAGTGGTTCAGGGCTCACCGTTGTGCTGGAAGTCCGGGTGTCTCAGTGTGCCCTGGATGACATGTTGTGGGGAGGAGGTCAGGATGGGTGGGGCTGCTTGCTTCATCCTCATTGGTTTAGACTGAGGGTGAAAGGCTGGTTCGTGTTTAGGGGAGGGACTAGAGTATGTAGCCTTATTCTCTGACCATGCCTCTTTGTGTTTGGTCAGCCTGTGAGGGCTCCTCTCTGCTCCTGTTGTCATGGTAACAGTCGTCCCAGATATCTGAACACAGGTAGAGTAACATGAGTGTGTCAGTGGTTATATAACAGAGGAATTGTTTTGTCTTGATTTTTACCAGCTGTTTGTTTGGAGAAAAATCATCGGTGCTCTTCAGTTTTCCAACTAGCACAGCGCCCCCTGCAGGACAGACAGATCACAGATGTGTGTTTATGACCTAATAAGGCTCATGGTGTAGGACATTGGTTCCTGCAACTTTCAGTTTCCCACCCACAAAATAGTAATTGTCAAGACAGGCAACTGTGAAAATCTGAACTGATAATAAAAAACATACTCAAAATAATTCAGGGCATTAAGAAAACCGCTTCAACTTTCATTCACTGACGTCAATAAAGAGCAGGTTAAAACAAAGAATTTAGTTTGGGGTCAGGCTGGATAATATAGAAAATAAAGCATATCATAAAAACTTTTCATATTGATCCATATCAATATTTAGTGATAACTATAAAAAACAAGTTGAAAACATTTCAAGTGTAGCACTGGCCATTGGATGTCAATACTTTATAATAAAACAAGTTGACTTGATCTTTGGTATGTTCTTGCTGTGCTTAGTTTCTAACTGCATTTTTGGTTCTTTTTTAACACACAGAAAAGGTTTCTTTTTTTTTTTTACCTTGCTGACAATGAAAAAACACGACATAAACACACCAACAAAACCACACACAACAGTTAGAAACAGACTAGTACACCCAAAAGACAAAATACCAGCAGGACATAAATGTGGAGTCGTTAACAAAATCCCATGCAAACTCTGCAATAAAACATACATAGGAGAAACTGGACGCCAACTCAACACACGAACAATAGAACATAGAAAGGAGTGCGAGAAAGAAACATGTCGAAAACACACAAGAGCAGCAAAACAAGAAGCAGAAAGCACAATAAAGAGGTCAGCCGTAACAGATCACTGCACAAGAGAAAACCATATAATGGACTGGGACAACACAAGGATCATAAACACAGAACAACAGAAATACAAAAGATGGATGAAGGAAGCTATCGAGATAAGGAAACGTGGATGTGGGACCATGAACAGAGACGATGGGGTCTACATATTGGATCGTGCATGGGACTGCATCATCGGAGAGGGGAGAGCGGGCAGCAGAGGGCGACAACGTCCTTTGCTGCCCGTGAATAAACGGAGTAGGAAGTGACGCCACCATCAGCGTCAGCTCTGAAGAAGTTTACAGCCGGTAAACGAAACAGTTAGCAAGGTAAAGAGAAACCTTATCTGTGTTTTTAAAAAGAACCAAAAATGCAAGTTGACTTGATTTTTATCAACAATCCGCTAATTTTGCACACAACCCTTGTTTGTTAAAAAGCAAGAAGAATGGACCACTGAGGTGAGTAAAGGTTTGGTAAATGGTCTGTATTTGTATAGCGCCTTCTTAGAGTTCTACAACCCCCCAAGGCACTTCACAACACAGTCATTCACCCATTCACACACTGATGGTGATGAGCTACGATGTAGCCACAGCTGCCCTGGGGCGCACTGACAGAGGCGAGGCTGTCGAGCACTGGTGCCACCGGTGTTCACTTATGCCCTCAATACTTAGTTTGGAATCCTTTTGCAGAAATAACTGCTTCAATGCGGCGTAGCATGGAGGCAATCAGCCTGTGGCACTGCTGAGGTGTCATGGAGGCCGAGGATGCTTCGATAGCAGCCTTAAGCTCATCCAGAGTGTTGGGTCTTGCGTCTCTCAACTTTCTCTTCACAATATCCCACAGATTCTCTATGGGGTTCAGGTCAGGAGAGTTGGCAGGCCAATTGAGCACAGTAATACCATGGTCAGTAAACTATTTACCAGTGGTTTTGGCACTGTGAGCAGGTGCCAGGTTGTGCTGAAAAATGAAATCTTTATCTCCATAAAGCTTTTCAGCAGATGGAAGCATGAAGTGCTCTGGATATCCTGATAGCTAGCTGCATTGAGCCTGCCCTTGATAAAACACAGTGGACCAATACCAGCAGCTGACATGGCACCCCAGACCATCACTGACTGTGGGTACTTGGCACTGGACTTCAGGCATTTTGGCATTTCCTCTGCCCGGTCTTCCTCCAGACTCTGGCAGCTTGATTTCCGAATAACATGCAAAATTTGCTTTCATACAAAAAAAGTACTGTGGATCACTGAGCAACAGTCCAGTGCTGCTTCTCTGTAGCCCAGGTCAGGCGCTTCTGCTGCAGTTTCTGGTTTAAAAGTGGGTTGACCTGGGGAATGTGGCACCTGTAGCCCATTTCTTGCACACGCCTGTACACGGTGTATTGTGCAAGTGGATGCTTCAAATGTTGGCATTGGAGCAGTACTGGCTCAAGGAGAAGCTGGCAGACTCAGTCCACTGCTTTTAGCTTTGTGACTTCCATTATTTTGAGACTTGTGTGTGTTTCGGCTGCTGACCGAAGCTTTGTTTGTATGTTTATATATATATATATATATATATATATATATACATATATATATATATATATATACATATATATACATATATATACAGCGAGAGAGAGAGAGATAATAAGGCTTCTGAAATCTTTGATCCTATTTTCTGTGAAGGGGTATGATTTTAAGTTTATGCATTTTACTAGTAAATAACTTACAAAACATCTGAATTGTCAAAATAGAAAAAATCGTGATCGTTATTTAGCAAAACCAAATGGTGATTATCGTTCACCCCTACTTCCAGGTTTTCCAGGGGAAGCGGGTAGGCTTCCCTAAAGAACGTGCCGTTTTGGAGTCACGTGACTCATTACACACCTTAAGGAAAACTTAGAGGAAGACGTACTTGACTCAAATAATTTTTAGTTGCTGAGGTAACACCAATTCAACTAGTTTAACGATGGTTTTTGTGTCTATGAATGTTGAGGTTGTACAAACTCCTGTTTGTCTGAACATCGTGTTCATCGATTTCCACAACAGAAAATAAATATTAGAAGCATAGAGATCATATAAATGTAGAGGCAACATGGGCTGGGTCTTTCCATCGGCCTTGCTGTAACTGCGGGCTGCCATGTTGCATGGGTTACTAGTGGCCCCAGGTAATATTCATTGGGCTAGAAAAGTCAATAGTAATCCCACAAAATCTGTTTTCAATAGTACGCCAATGGTTGGAACCACAGACTGCACAAAAACAGACATAGTTGCTCACTCAGCGTTGACTCCGATTAGGTTTTGGAGAGTGAGGAACCCATCCAATATGGCGGCGAAGTGGTTACTCTCCAGCGCTCAAAGTCACATTTACGTATTCCATTTAGTTTAATCTCGTTCCCACCTCTTGTATGCACTAGCTGTTTGTTTCATAAAAATAGTACAGTATTCTTACTGATTTCAAAAGTTAATGTTTCCTTCTAAAGAGTCCCCCCCCCCCCCCCCCTTTTGAATGTGGGACTAATTTCTTTTAGTTTAGTTTAGTTTATTTCAAACAAAGAAAACATACATAATTTTTAAAAAATTACCACAAACAGAAAAAATACATTACTACATTGTCATTACATTTGAGCGTAATGACAATGTAGTAAAGCAGCTCTCCTGTGATCGTTTTAGACCAATGCCGTGCTCACATTTAGTAACTAGGAAGCCAACATCGCATTGTATTCAGAGTCGGAAAATAGAAGCGATTATGCTTAACTTCCATAGGAACTCGTAAATTAGAGAACAAAAATAATTTTAATGTAAAATGTCAGGGGACAAGTTTCTGTCTAAATATATTTAAACAAAAAGAAGCTCTTACCAGTTAGCATTGTGAAGATCCCACGCTTCAGCAGCTTGTCTTTCACCATTATCATTATTAGCCCTGTTTAGCTTGCTCCCATCAATGCTTGCCGCTTGCTCAAAACTGTATGGCTGTGCACCTTCAGTATTTAATATAAACGTATGTTCGTATTCAGAATCCGGAGCCCCTTGCTGCTGCTGCAAACCATTTTTTTCCTCAGCAGTCAGGAACGTTTTCCATGAGCGGCGTAATTTCCAGTTTCCAATAAGATGCGCTGTTTTTTCACGGATGAGCTAGGAGAGCCTAGTTGGAAAAGTAACAGCACCTTTTGTTTTCAAGTTTCTTCCTTTTTTAAATGAAAATATAAAGTTTTGACCTGTTACAATATAAGGGCTTCAACATGTGTTTAACGTGGAAGAAGATGCACTTTAAGGTCTCCTCCAAGTTGGACGTACCCAAAGCTCAGTGACCATAGGTGAGGGTAGGAATGTAGATCGACCGGTAAATCGAAAGCTTTGCATTCCAGCTCAGCTCTCTCTTCACCACGACAGACCGGTACAACGCTAACATCACTGCAGACATTCTCATAAACAGCTGAAACACATGTTCCCGTTCTTTTGGTAGAGATGTAAATATCTCTTTCTGAATTGTAAAATTTCATGTGCACCAATCTATTGAATCCAGTTTTTTTTATACAATATAATGTTCTTTGAGTAATGCAAACCCAGGCCAAAGCAGGATGCAGCACGTTTATTTGTAAATGAAGTGATCAACTTTCTGCAGAGGCAGGTATTTTTGGTTCAGGGAAATACTGTTAATTAGAACACAACAGCTGGGATTTGTTTTTCAGTACAATATGTTTTCTCAGAAGATTTTTAGGTCTTGTAGAACTCAGCTTAACCTCGAAACTTCCATTAACGACTGCGTCCTAATTAAAGTTAAACCAAGGAAATAGCCTGGTTTTGCGTTCAGATGTGTTGGAGCAGCTGAAATGTGAAACTGCTGTGTCTGGGCAGTGAGTCAAGGTCTTAACATTTCCTTTTTTATTAATAAATGTTTTCTCTAATTGAATTTACCTTTGAGTTTCAGGATTCAGAAAACTGTTCATAGAGACAGAAATGGTCACAGATTCAGTCCATCTAATTCTGGGTCGCTGATGACCAGCTGTTTACCTGTGGCAGGTGTGGTGAGATCATGATGAGTCCTCTGAACTGGCTTAGTTTTCAGCCTCGGTGTCGGTAGCCTTCCCTCCTCTCTGCACACAGCAAATACAAAAAACCCCAGATGTGGTCTTGAGAAGCAGCTGGGCTGAAAGCGTCAGACTGGTGACACACTTTCTGTAATTGTCAGAAATAAGGTCATGTCTGGGTCAGAATCAGAACGTTACTGATCATTCCAAAACGAGAAAAGGTAAGTCAGTTGTTTGCTTAATGAAAGCAGAAGGCAATAATTTCATTTCTAGCCCTTCACAAATTGATGATCTAGTTCATCATGTTACTTCTTCTTTACGTGTGGCATTAGATGATGTTGCCCCTTTAAAAAAGAAGGTAAGTAGGGACAGGAAGTTGGCTCCCTGGTTTAATTCTCATTTACGAGCCTTAAATCAGAACTCTAGAAAACTGGAGAGAACATGGCGCTCTACACACCATGAGGAGGCCTACCTATCCTGGAAAAATAGTCTTGTGCTTTATAAAAATAAGCGTCGAAAAACTAGAACTGCTTATTTTTCATTGCCAATTGAGGAGAATAAGCATAATCCTAAATTTCTTTTCAGTACAGTTGCCAAACTTACACAGAATCGTAGCTCTGAACCATCTATTCCCTTAGCCCTCAGCAGCAATGACTTCATGGGATTTTTACAAGTAAAATTAATTCTATTAGAAACAAAATCTTTAGCATCCTCCCTAATGCGATTTCTTCTTCCTCAGTAAGTGAGGCGGCATCAGAGGTGACTGTAGAACCTCATCTGTGCTTGAACCGTTTTGATCCAGTTGAGCTTTCAGAGTTATCAAAAATATTAGCTTCATCTAAACCTTCAACTTGCATTTTGGATCCAATCCCAACCAAATTATTTAAAGATGCATTTCCTTTGGTTACTGCCCCCATTCTAGATATAATCAATCTATCCTTAGTAAATGGGTATGTACCACAAGATTTTAAGGTTGCTGTAATCAAACCTTTACTTAAGAAGCCTTCTCTGGGTCCAGATGACCCAATGAATTATAGACCAATATCTAACCTTCCATTTTTATCCAAAGTCCTGGAGAAAATAGTGGCCATCCAAGTATGTGAGCATTTAAACACTAATGCTCTGTTTGAGGAATTTCAGTCATTTCATTTCGTAAATGTACATGACAAATCTTCTTCATACTCCAAGGTTACTTGTGGAGTACCACAGGGATCAGTGCTTGGACCAATTATTTTTACTATATATATGCTCCCAATTGGTGAAATCATTAGACAGCATGGGATAAACTTCCACTGTTATGCTGACGATACTCAGCTATATTTATCCATTAACCCTGATGAACCTAATCGGTTAGGTAGATTACAGGCTTGTCTTGAAGACATAAAAATTGGATGACTCTAAACTTTTTGCTTTTAAATCAAGACAAGACGGAAGTTCTCATCTTTGGACCAGAAATCCAGAAAAGGAAATTGCTTAGCCAATCGCCTGACCTGAATGGCATTACATTAATCTCCGAGAACAAAGTAAGGAACCTTGGTGTTATCTTTGACCAGGACATGTCATTCAAATCCCAAGTTAAACAGGTTTGTAGGATTTCCTTTTTCCACCTTCGGAATATTGCTAAGATTAGAAGCATCCTTTCCAGGAGTGATGCTGAAAAACTAGTTCATGCATTTATTACATCAAGACTGGATTACTGTAATTCATTACTCTCAGGAAGTCCACAGAATGTAGTTAAAAGTCTTCAGCTTGTCCAAAATGCTGCAGCTAGAGTTCTGATGAGAATTAAAAAGAGAGATCATATCTCTCCTGTCTTAGCTTCCCTACATTGGCTACCTGTTAAACTCAGATTGGATTTTAAATGATAAATGACCTGCACTTGTATAGCGCCTTTCAGAGTAAGGACTCCGAAGCGTGTGTGCCATTCATCCATTCACACACATATTCACACGCTGGTGGTGATGAGCTACGATGTAGCCACAGCTGCCCTGGGGCGCACTGACAGAGGCGAGGCTGCCGAGCACTGGTGCCACCGGTCCCTCTGACCACCACCAGCAGGCAAAGTGGGTTAAGTGTCTTGCCCAAGGACACAACAGCAGAATTCTCTGTCCGAAGCCAGGATCTAACATGCAACCTTCTGATTACTGGACAACCTGCTCAACCTGTTGAGCTACTGCTGCCCCTAAGATCCTCCTTTGCACATATAAAGCTCACACAGTAACAAAATGCAAATGACGACTTTAGTCATCATTGGCAGTAAATGAATTAACTGTATTATTTCCTGCTATTTCAGCTGTTAACTTTATTTTCTCTCTAAGTGTTTTTCTCCCCAGAAGAAGCTACAACGATGTTCTGCTGAGCTGTGGTGGCCTCATGGAGGGGGCCATCGGCTAGCACACTGCTGCTAACCACTTAAACATTCTCCCTCTCCTGATAATGGCTTTTTGCTTTCCTTGACGTTGGATGTGCTACTACTAGTTTACCCGTTTAATTATAGATCCACTAGGATAAATACAATAAAGTTTATCTCTCACCTAATAGAATATTTACTAAGAAATCACAATGTAACCATAGAAACACTACTGTGTGTGTGTGTGTGTGTGTGTGTGTGTGTGTGTGTGTGTGTGTGTGTGTGTGTGTGTGTGTGTGTGTGTGTGTGTGTGTGTGTGTGTGTGTGTGTGTGTGTGCGCTCTGTCTTCTCCATCCCCAGTGAGTCGTGGAGGATGGCTGCTTATACTGAGCCAGGATTCTCTGGAGGTTTCTTCCTGTTAAAAGGGAGTTTTCCTCTCCACTGTCGCTGCATGCTTGCTTAGTATGAGGATTGCTGTAAAGACTCTGACACTAGTCAGTGACTCGATGCAACCTGCTGGGTTCCTTATATAGGAATTTTTTTTACTGATTGGCTTAATGACCTGACCTGTACTGGACTGTTTACTGTGTGAAGGTCCTTGAGACGACTCGTGTCGCTATATAAATAAACTCAATTAAACTGAATGAAACAGTTGATTTTATAATCCCAATAACGCGTCTAAAAACAAACAGTACGAAAACATGAAAGTTTAAAACTGCTGGTCGCCTGTTTGGGGTGGTGGTTTGCTGAGCATGATTGGGTGTCTAGCGTTCATTTTTGTAAATCTTACGTTGTATGTGTATGTGTGAGCATGAGGGAGGGAGTGTGTGACTGTGTTTGTGTATGACTGCATACAGGTGGGGCCTTTGACTCCTCCCCTCTCCTGGGACTGCTTGTGTTGCTACACATCTTCGCCTCCCCTCCACCTGCCACATTTGGCGTGGAGGGTGGTGCCTTGGTCCGCCTGAGTGTTCGCGGCTCCCGGGTCAGGGGGTTTAAGATTTTTGGCATCTGTCTGATTGATCCCAGTGGCTGCCTGGTGGGATCTGAGTCCCTGGGCTCTGTTGGGTCCCCGGCGGGGCTGGTCGCCTCTGAGTCCTGGGTCGCTGGGTTCCGGGCTCAGCCAGCTTGGGGCTGGGAGACTGCAGGCGGGCCTGTGGGCTTGCCGCTGTTATCCCCAGGGCTCTGCCAGCTGCTGGTTGTGGCCCCCCGGGGCATTCCTCTGCCCCTCTCGAAGGGGGGCAGGGGCTTTTCTGGTTACAGTCTCCTTGGGGTCCCTGCACTCTGGAGCAGCTCCTGGATCTCTGGGACTTGGAGCTCCCTCCATCTCCTGCACATCTTTGGGGGGCAGATCTGTGGCCCCTCACACTCTCTATTGGACGCTCCTATAGAGAAACCTTACATATACAAGCGTGTGTACACACACAGGTGCTCACATGGTGCTCTCATAAGTATGGGCTTGGGCATGTTGTGACGGCTACCAGCCTGGGCATTGGGATGCAGGAGTCAGGATCACCCAGCCCTGGTGATCAGCCTGACACCGCCCCTCCCCCTCCTCTCTTCCAGGCTGCTGAGGAGCACAGCTGAGCTGAATCCTGCTGATGACCCACACCTGGGATAAAAAGGCGGTGCCTTCAGCAGTCTGGGAGACAGCAGTGTAGGGCTTCTGCTGTCCTCCAGGCCTTACGCTTTGTTTTAAACCCCTTTTGTGTGTTTAGAAGATCTATGTGATCTTTTTGGTTTATGTATTCTTTTTAAGGTTAACGTCGTAGTTTACCGACTTTGGGATTTAAAACACTCAGTGTTTTCGTAGTGCGTCGGTTTTTATTATCAACTTGTGGATTTTGGAAACGCCTTCTGTTTGGTAAAACTTTTAATATAAGTTTTAACCAGGTGTTTTAATGTTGGTAATTGGTCTTTTAATGATAACCTTTTAGTCTTGATTTTTTTTTTTGGCATTATTTTAATAATGCTCTCCATCTGTTTGAACTTGTTTTTAGAAACTTTTATAACAATTAAACCCATTTTAACTCTACTGTTGCATTTCTTATGTTGCCCCCTCCTTCACATTTTAACACCTCCTGTCGGGGACGTAACAACGTTCAACACATGTCTTAAGGCTGTGGTTGGCACTAAATGCACTGTGAGTTATTATCGTGATTGTTCAGTAAAACAATATTTTTACATTTCCTTATCAGGTTGACGCAGTGTTAGCTTGCTCCTGTTGTATTGTTGTGTGTTGTTTTTCTCTTTCTGCAGGTCTAGAAGCAGACTCTTGTTCATGATTGGTTGTTTATTTTTGTGGAAAATGTTAACTAGATGCTCCTATACAGGTGCAGGACAGGTGCAAATTAGAAAAAGGTTCCCAGCCCAAAACAGCATTGTTATCCTGTTCGTCACCTCAGGTTTACACACACTTTCAGTATTACCTTTGAGGCATTTAATTATTGGACATTTAACATGAGTAAGATTATTTCAGGTTCCCCACCTGATCTCTGTGTATCTTCATTCCTTCTGCAGTTCATTTACAAACAGATGATTTTTCCTACTCAGAAGTGGGAATTTTCATGTTCCGGGGAGGAAGTGAACGCAGCATTAGCTGATAGCAACGGAAGCTCAAATATCAAGCTAACACTATCTTAATTTTTTTTTACCAGATTATGATAACTCACTTAGAAGTTGTCAATGTTGTCATCATCACCCATCGCATTTAGTGAAGTGGACCCGAACTGTAGAGCGCGCTCTTTCTACCATGCTGCTTGTTCTGTTTACAGCTGGCCTACAGCAACTGACAACATAACGCTCTTGTGCATGTGCTGCTGTCTATCCTGGGAAGTCAGGTACCAAACTCTTAAGGTACTGAAACAAGGCACAGTTTCATATCGCATGAATCGGTCCTTAGTCTGTACCACGGAATTCAGTCAGGCCCTTAAAAAGTACCGAATCCGGTACCCATCCCTAGTAGCCATAAAGCAGCTCTAAGCTTCATAAAGGTTGGTTCTCATGTCTATCAGCCTTACTATGGGTGAAGAACCAAGGATCGATGGAACATACTCATCTGTGTTTTCTTTTTCTTCATCTTGTTCTTCCTCCCAGGCAGTATGCTGATCTCCAGGAGAAGCTGTTGATGCTTTTGTTTCTCCAGAACCAACAACAGATGATTTCCTACTGAAGTTACTGGAATGAAAAGACAGAGAAATCAGCACAGGTGAGTTTTCAGATCATGGTTCATTTTATACCGCCACTTCTCACCTGGCCAGGTCCAGGGCTTCCACACAGGAAGTGCTGCAGCTGTCTGGTTCAGGTGAAAAGTCATCATTCAGGTGGGGGGTGGAGTCGGTGGTGTCGGTCGGCTCCCACACAGCCGTGTGCTCCGACAGCAGCTGGCTCAGGTGATTTCTGCAGAAGTTAGTTCCCCAGGCTCTGCGGCGGTACAATTGGGCTTGCTGCCTCAGCTCCCTCACCTGGTCCAGAACAAAAAAAGTTCTGATGGGCCCATTTCAGAAGAAGGTAATCATTTCTATAGCGCCTCTCAAGATAAACATCACGAGGCGCTTCACAAAAACAAAAAATTTAAATATAAAAAAACTATTTCTAAATTTATTAAAATACGTTTTAAATGAGAAAAAATTGTGATTAAAAATGTAAGGAAATGGACATGAAAGAGGGAAATCAGTGGATCCTGGGAAAGGAGGAACAAGGAGAGGGTGATGAAGGTCCCACAAAAGGCTGAACAAGTGAGTTTAAAGGAGTCCGCAGAGTCCACTGATCTCAGGCTCGGGGGTAGAGAGGTCCAGAGTCTGGGGGCCACAGCAGCAGATGATCTGTCACCTTTGACCTTTAGCCTGCTGCTGCACAACCAGTAGGAGGGACGGACCTGGGGCCTCATTTATATAAGCTGCTTACACACACACTGGAGTCTGATTATTGTGTAGGACCGTTTCCGGGCAAACTTTGTGTTGAAGGAAAACATGATGGCAACTTTAAAAAACTGACCCTGGCATAAGCCCAGGTTGGAGATGGAGAGACTGGCAGCACAGCTGGTGAGATGGTGAATTTAAGGTGTCACAGAGTTTACGGGCAGCAGTAGCTCAACAGGTTGAGCGGGTTGTTCAGTAACCGGAAGGTTGCAGGTTCGATCCCGGCTCCGGACAGAGAACCACAACAGTGTGATTAGAGATGGGGTGAGAAGCTCGGTCATCAGGGAAGGGCTTGGAGTAGACCTGCCACTCCTCCACATTGAGAGGAGCCACTTGAGGTCGCTCAGGCATCTGGTTAGGATGCCTTGCTGGTGAGGGCACGTCCAACTGGGAGGAGACAGAAGGGAAGACATGCTGGAGGGACTGTGTCTCTCGGCCCAGGACATGCTGAAGTCTCTCGGCTGGCCAGGGAACGCCTTGGGATAACCCCCGGAAAAGCTAGCCTATGTAGCTGGGGAGAGGGAAGACTGGACCTCTCGGCTTAGGCTGCTGCCCCCACAACCCGACTCCGGATAAGAGTGTGTGAGCGGGTTTATGAAAGGCACTCTACCACAGTTTGAGAGCTCCAGATCTCCACGGAGCTAAAGCCTTAGCTAAATCATCCCGTTAACCATACAGTTTATAAAAGTAGGCCACGAAAATGTGACTATCATACACCGTAGTGGTCGGCGTGGTGTCTACTCTTCTTTGTCTATGCCGTTGAGGACGGACCTCTGTAATGAACAAATCTACACTAATTTGAATACGTTCCTCACGCTACGAGGAATCTGCTTTGGTGGTGGTTGTTGTGTTTTAGTTAGATGCACTGGTGTGTGTCCGTGTGTTTAAGTCATTATAAGAACTACTTTTGCTTTGTAGAGATTGTAACAAGTTTTTATGCAGGTGCTTGCACTGAAACTACTCGTGTTCGTGTGTTTAATGACATCTTTCTGGCCTTGGATTCAGGGTTCCATGTGGTTCTGGTACTTCTGGATCTATCTGCAGCCTTTGATACGATCGATCATAACATCTTGATCTCTAGACTGTAGGGCTGCAACAAAGAATCGATAAATTCGATGAAAATCGATTACTAAAAGCGTTGGCAACGAATTGCGTCATCGATTCGTTGTGTTGCACAACTCTTCCAAAAGCGCCCCCCCTTCCCGCCCGCCGTTGCGCGCAGACCAGAGCAAGTCAGATCAGCGCGAGGGAGAGCCGCAGATCAGCGCGAGGGAGAGCCGCAGATCAGCGCGAGGGAGAGCCGGCAGACTTGCGCTGCTGCGAACCGGTTCCGCATTGTTGCGCAGCGATCCAGGCAGCTGCTTCCAGCGCATGGTCCATTCTCAAAGTGGCGCAACCAAAAAACTATAATTAGCACACGATCGTTCATGTCCGCACATATTCTCTATTTTCTGTCTTATTTGTGCCTGAAGCTCGCTACTGCGGAGCTCATCACCTGTGCTGTGGTGATGTCACCTCACTGACGCAGCATCGAAAACGCGCTCTGCGCTTTTCGGTCAGGAGATCCCTTTGATCTGCTCAAAAGTAACTGATGAGGTGAAAAGGTAAGAATCCAGGCAACAGTTTTTCTGGAGAATTAAGAGGAGATGCAGGAAGATGAGAGACAGACAGGACAGGAAAATAGTTCAATAAAAACAAGAAAACAAAACAAAGTGTTGAAAAGTAAAATGTAGGTAGATTTATCTCCACTACACGTTTTTACCAGTATAAAACAATAAGTTATACACATGTAGTATTTATACATCTGATACAATTCAGATCACCTTCAAAACTCAGTCACACACCCAGGGCCGTTTCAAGACATTTTGGGGGCCAAGGCAAAATGCCCCCCCCCCCCCCCCCAAATAACTGGGCTCCCCAGAAGCCTCTGTGTAATTCATGCCCTCTCCAGTAGTGTTAGTTATTCAGTGTTTATAAAAGCCCCTCAGACATTACTGACATGTTCTAATATTATCAGATGAAAAACTAAATTATCAGACATGCCGTCTCATCTGCTTCTTTTATAAACTTGCAAAAAGTAACAAAACCATTTGAAAGCCACTATTTGTGGATTCTCTGAAAGTTTCCATGGAGTGTGTGACAACTTATTATTTCATTGATCCTATCGTCTAATCTCACAGCTGAAACAAGCATCCTTAATAATCTGTGCACAGGAAGCATACCGATGCTGTAGTAAAACAAAAGGTATAATAATTTATTATTAATAAAACCTTGTTGCAGCACTAAAGCAGAAAAATTAGATTTTGCATTAAATATGCAAAATATTTACATATGAATTGTTTTAGAGCCCTTTAATTGGCAGAATCTGATATTAATTTAGTTCTTACAAAAAATGGGTCCCAACATGGTTTGTGTGGCGTTGCCATAGTGTGACGTCATAGGCACAGATCCCCTGTCCTCTTGTTTGGAAATGGAAATATGGTCACCCTACATTAAACAAACTGTCCACCCGGGCTTTTGCGCTGCACAGAGACGCTTCGCTGCCTATGACTGAACGTCAGTTGAGAGTCAGTCTCATGCAGAATGACCAATGAAGAGAGGGCCTCAAGTTAAGACCCTCTCCTCATTGGTCAGTCCACACAAGGTGGGTCAAAGGTTACTCTGGGCGGGTTACGTGTTGTCAGGCATTCAAGTATTGAGTATATTTACTGCATATTACAGTAAAATATTCTGTATGTGACCACATTATGGTGATCCTCGGGTCGTGATGATGGAGCCCTTGAATATTGTTGCCCAGGGTACAACAAAGTGTTAATCTGGCCCTGGTTCCGCCGTCACATTCCCGCAGAAACTGGTTGATCACACCGGGGCCAGACTACTAGCATGTGGTTTTACAACCACAATGTCCTCGGAAGCAAAAACGCTTTTAAAAGGGAGGGAGGAGTCCTAACTGTTGCTGCAGGCGTGTTGTGTGAGAGTGCAGTTATATACTGGTTAATATATTTTTGGGTTCAGTTGCTTTCATGTGGCCTAATGTGAGTCTATTTGGGATCATTGGAATGATCAGCAGCATTTCTTGATGTGACTTTATGGCAGTTGCCCAGGGCATCATCACAAGGAGGATGGCATTCATTTACTTTTGTTTTATTTGGTATTTTTTCAGTCATTTTTGGAAATAGTGATCAATTTTGATTAATTCACAGCCTATGTTTAATTACATTTAAAATAAATGTCAACAGATGAGATCAAACAAAACAGATGAGAATTGCCCTTAAGCTGTTTAACTTGGACCAAGCATTTTAGGTCACAGATAGATGTAGCTTAGGGTCTCTGTCTATACACCTTATAAGACAATTTAGGTGATGGCATGTTGTTTTTCTGCTATTGAACTGTTTTCTAATAATGTTGTGTTAAATAAAGTGAAGGAAGGAGAGAAATAACGTTTCCCTAGCAGTTTTTAAAAATTTCCCCATGTAATCCGATTAATCGATTAATCGTGTCGAGACCCCATCCGATTAATCGATTATCCAAATAATCGTTTGTTGCAGCCCTACTAGACTGCACACTTGGGCTGGCATCTCAGGTTCGGCCCTAGACTTGTTTAGGTCTTACTTTTCTAACAGGTCCCTCAGGGTCATGCTGGATGACTATTCATCCCAGTCACTCTCCCTTCCTTGGGGGGTTCCTCAAGGTTCCATCCTCGGCCCGTAACTGTTCTGCCTCTATATTCTGCCCTTGGGAGCCATTTTCAGACAGCATGTTGTTTCAGACCATCTATACGCAGACAACTGTCAAATCTATTTTTCATTTAAACCCACTGACTCCACTAAACCTCTGTTTGTGGAACTCATTACCTCTTCAGGTTAGGCAAGCACCCTCTATTGCCGTTTTTAAATCACGCCTGAAAACCCACTACTTCTCCCTGGCCTTCAACTCCCAAACCATAAGGCACTAACTCATCCTTTGTTTTTCCACCTTGTTTGTTCGATTTTAAATTTGTGTTTTTATATTCTGGTTTCACTTGTTCTGTTGGTTTTAGTTTGTTGTTCTTTTAACTCTATCTTTTTTACTTCATATGATATACACGATTATTTTAGCTTGTGTTTTGTAGTATTTGTTTTATGTGCAGCGCTTTGGTCGGTTGTAATGCCGTGTTGAAAGCGCTCAGCAAATAACGTGGTATGGTATGCCACAACCTTTGTTCTGAGCTACTAAACCTACGACCTTCGAAGCACCAGTGCTGTTAGCTAAAAATGTTAACGTACAGCCCTGCTCAGACTCACCATTATGACAGCATGATCCTGTGTACAACACTTTCATTGACGGGCACATCTTTTGATAGTTGTCTTACTACGTAAAAACTGTTTGAGTCCAATAAAGCAACTGGTCATCCCCTTTTTGTCTTGGCCTGATCACAGCATTGCCACATCTGCTCTGGTTGTGTAATTCCAGCTTTAGTTGTTGATTCTGGTAAACCTGACCAACCCGACCTCAGTCCAAACCCTGAATAACCCCTGACCCAGTTTTTGAAGCTAACCTCAGACTGTCCCTAACCTAACCCTGACATCAAGTGTGATTTTGATGCTGATCATCCCTCCTACTCCGTCTGTCAGGCTTTCATCTGTTTTATATTAATAGACATTACCGTATGAGACTGCGTCACAGCAGACACCAGTTTGCTTGTGCAGGAAAAGCTCTAATAAAGGCCACAGTGCACCACTGCAGCTTTGGGGAAAAATGTCTTCAAAATCAAATGCAACCCTTTTTAATGCAGCCGGGCTCTCCGTACTCTTTCAAGTGAAAATGTGTTCTGCATCAGTGCAGATGCACCCTAACAAACACATCCTGGCCCAGTGGGAATAAACTGTTCTATATAACCTTTGTGGAGCATGCTGATGCAGGTCAGCCCACAGAAACCTTCATGCCACTCTGCATTTATTCACTTTACATGAAACTCTTCAGGGTTTGTGGAAGTTCAAGATGCCAGCTCAGCATTTGTATCCGTATGAAAGTTCATCTTTGAGCTTACAGTCAGTGACTCACTGCATCTGCCGAGTTTCTGTTCGAAGTGAAGATGGAGCTTCAGCTTTTTGGAGTTCATGCTCCAGTTCAACTCGATGCTCGCCTAAAATCTAAAGGTAAAATCTACATGCGACACTAGAACACGTCGGCCTAAAAACGCCTGTTTCAGTGTAAGCCCCCGCTCTACCAGCTGCATGGAGTTACTCCAACACCAGACAGCATTTCTGATGTTTTCCAGGTTCTTCAGAGCAAACTGAACACAAACCAGACGAGGACCAACAAATACTGGTGGAAGGAATCAGCAGTAGAACCCTGGAGTCCAAAGGGACTAAAAACAACAAGTTGAATTTCCTGCTGACAGTCGGTGAACAAGCAGGTGATTTTCTCACGTTTGATGTTTTCAGCTAAACTGATGCTGAGGCATCAGGTAACCCCCTCCTCAAGAAAAATTTCCACAAGACTGGTGGAAACCCATCTGAGTGTGAGTAACTGAGAGTTGTTTCCTTGAAAGGAAACACTGTGGTTTTTTTCTGCTGAGCGCGTTGAGGTCTCTTCAGCCACACACACATGAACACACGTTTCCCAAATGCCACAACGGTTAGAGGAATCAGGGACAAAACATTAGTTGCTCGATTAGCTGCTTCCTATCCTCCTGATAAATCTGACAGACCAACGATCCACTCTCACTAACATCACAGGTGGCTGCAGACCAGAATTTATCAACAGACAGAACTGCTCATTTTACATGTAGCCCTTCACTGATCACATACCAACTACTAACTACGTTTTTCAATTCAGTTTATATATAAAGCTCCAAATCACCTATTGCTAAAGTCGTCTCAAGGACCTTCACACGGTAAACGTTCCAAATGAGGTCAGTTCATTAATCAGTAACAAGTTTCCTATATAAGGAACACAGCAGGTCGCAGCGAGTCACTGACTAGTGTCAGAGACTTTACAGCAATCATCATACTAAGCAAGCATGCAGCGACAGTGGAGAGGAAAACTCCCTTTTAACAGGAAGAAACCTCCAGAGGATCCTGGCTCAGTATAAGCAGCCATCCACCATGACTTGTGGCAGTTTGCCAGTTCAGGTAATTTTATTTTATTTTATTGTCTCATCTGCTTCCATACGTCATGTCCTCTGTGGCGAGCGCGTCTTTAAAAAGGGGGGGGGGGGGGGGCGTGACCTGATCAGGTGTGTCTGATTGCCTCGCTGACAAAGGGAGAGACACAGACCAGCGATAAGAGAAGGATTGATAGAAACAAGTAGTGTTGAAATAATAACGAGAATTTTTGTGAAAGGACGATAAAACGGAGTAGAGACAGGAGCGCCGTTCCACAGCGGAGATTGGGAGGGCGCCGGGACGCGATCGCCGTTTCGGTGGGGCGCGCAGCTGTTTCGCATGGGTTCCACTTCTGAGTCAGGCCTGTTGGACCCCGGTGCTTACGTTCTTCTGCGAGAACCACGAAACCCGTTGGGAAAAGTCGGGTTCCGTGAGTAAGAACAATATTGAGTTTGACTGTAAGAGTGCCGCCGAGCACAGAGCGGGTACATTGGTGGCTTCCCCGTCGCTGACACTAATGAATGGTTAGTGAGGAGGCCCCATAAGCCGCCATGTTGTATGTTGTTGGGTGTGTGATGTGAGTTGATGATCGGGTAATTTCTGGTTTAAGTTCTCCTTTGAAGAAGAAGGGTGTAGACTATTCTATGTTGTGTCCTTTGTAGGGAATTTGTACTTATCAAGGTTAACCGATCACTGTAATTGATCTTATATGTCAGGAGAGAGACTTGGCTGGCACCCCACTCCTTGATGCAAAAATCTGTTACACTCACTGGGAATGGAGAAGACAGAGCACACACACACACACACACACACACACACACACACACACACACACACACAGCCTATTACAGCTTGATTAAATATGAAAACATCCTTAGAGGCTGTTCATTAAACTTCAGTGATGAATTTTCTTTTTATTTCCTTCAGATCTCTTGTTTGTAATCTTGAATCAGTTATTATCACCTAGGTAACAGGAATGAGCAGCCATACTGGACTTAACACTCTTTAGAAGCTTTTCAGCCTAAGACCATTTTCTGCTTCAGATCACTTGTTTTTAATAGATGCAGAATTACAATCGTCTCCTTTGCTCTCTTCCTTAAACACTCAGGCATCAACCTCCAGCTCTGTAGCCTTTAGCACATCCAAAGTATTAAAGCTGCAATGGCAAATTTGGAAAACAAGCTAAATTAAAGCAAATTTTCATGCCTCATAGTATAGCTATAAATACATTGTGGCGGTTAAAATAGTTCGTTCATACTTGTGTAAAAACCTCTGCCAATAACATGGCCACCGTCGGACCTTCCCGCTGTCGGTCTCACTGAAACGCCTGGGTCCTCGACTCATCGCATACTCACATATTCAGCACCAGAACACAACTGGTGTGAGAGGTTCTCCGCTCAGTAGTATCGGAGAAGGAGAAACAGCCGGCTGCTACCACTTCAGCTTTAGGACAAACTACCAGAGTCCCAAAAAGACACCATTTGAAGTGATGAACAACTAAAGACGTCTGGACCTAGAAAACAGTGACTGGTGTTCAGCTCTCTCGTTTGTTGTAGCTAAGCGGGTGTTCAGTTCTGGTGGTGGTGGAAACAGTGAGGATACCTGAGGGAGTGGTGACTGTTCCATGCTCGTGTTAGTATTAACGACGTAGCTTGTTTGCAGATTTGCAGAGTCGGTTTGAACCCAGCGAAGGGCCTCCATAGTTACCCACAAAGAATCAGAGGTGAAATACACTTTTCCTTGGTTCTGCACCCCCCAAGGCGCTTTACAACACAACCAGTCATTCATCCATTCACACACACATTCACACGCTGGTGGTGATGAGCTACGATGTAGCCACAGCTACCCTGGGGTGCACTGACAGAGGCGAGGCTGCCGAGCACATGCGCCACCGGTCCGTCCGACCGCCACCAGCAGGCAAGGCGGGTTAAGCGCCTTGCCCAAGGACACAACAGCAGAAATCTCTGGTCAGAGCCGGGATTGAACCTGCAGCCTTCCGATTACTGGACAACCCGCTCTACCCCCTGAGCTACTGCTGTCCAATTTGTCATTTTCAAATCTAGATCAATGCATGTGTGAAAAGAAAAGAAGACTTTAGACACTATAATAGTGAGCTGTGCTACTTTCAGAACAGGCCCGTGGGCACCTCGTGGTTCTTGGAGGCCCTAGGTTGGCGGTCCCTGCTCAAGTGAGTCTTGTTCAAACCCACTTAGCAGGACAGGACAAGCCAACCATAGGTGAGACAATAATTCAGTCCTGACCTGCTGAGTGAAATCATCAGTGGCTCCGCCTCCTTCTGGGTTCCTGTAGAAATCAGAACGAAAGCTGGACTGATATTCTGTCAACGTCCTGCGAGACACATAGCAGATTTTATGCCTGAATCATAAACTAATAAAAACCATAAAACACAAACTGATAGATACACACCTGCATCTTTTATACACCTGAGGAGGTTTGTCTTTGGTGTGCTCCGCCTCCTTCCCGCTGTGGGCCTGCAGGTAGAAACATCCCATTCAGGTGTTTGGGAGGGAACTGTTGGGAGTGGACACCCTGTAAGTCCTGGTCCGAACAATCCAGTGAGTGATGTTGTGTATTTGGCCTGGCTCGGTTTCCTTGGATCCACATTTAGAGTTTTCCATCAGCACTTCTCGGTGTAACTTGGAGGGGGTAAGTTCAGTTGGGCAGTTGGCGTTTTCCAACAGCACGGTTCGGTATTTTCCCCAACTGCTTTGTTGTGCTACTTCTCTGCCTGCGGCCTTTTTCTGGTTCAGTCTGACAAGAAGCCAGAGACTGAGCAGAGCGTTCCCCTCCACTGCTGTTTTTTGTTTTTGTGAGACGTGCAGTTCACCTCACGCTACTTTTTAGTCGGGTAAAGATTGTGAGTGCCATAGGTGCAACCCCCCATTGGATCTGTGTCTCTGTTTGATGTGGGAAAGCAAATTCCCCTCAGCTGAGACAAGTTTAGCGGAACCGAGCCGTGTTCGGTAAGGAAAGGGGGGGCAGGTACTGAAAAAAGGGTGGAAAGAACTTCCAACTGCGCTGAGACGAGTCGAGCTATGCCGAGTAGGTCCTGATGGAAAAGGCCCATGTGTAGAATCATGACATCTGACCTTAATCTTTACTGGGTGAGGCCTGTAGGGCATCTGGGTTCTTTTGTTCCTGAAATCCTTCAGAAAGGAGCAGAGTGTGTTGCTTTTTGAGATCTTTTAGCCAACTTCCTTTGTCGGGTTCTGTTGAAGTGACTTACTTCTACAGGTCTGAGTGAAGCTGGTGGGCCTGGACTCAGCTTTAGAGCCCTGCACGGGCCTAAAATCTGAGCCCGTGTCCGGCCCGGCCTGAGGGGGTGGAGCCCGACCCGGTCCGAAAAGGTTTTCAGGATTCTCTGGCCCGACCCGAGCCCGACTTTTTTTAACCAACTAAATGAAAACAAAGTGCGTCAATCCTGACCAATGTGTTAAGAGACGTGCAGGATCCGATCAATTTGTTTTTCCCTCGTTTACCGTCACGGAGATAACGGCGCACTGGCTCTGGTGGTAATCAAGTTTAATTTGATCAATTTTCACAAGAAAACAGAGCAGTTAAAAGCAGGGCTTGTGTTGACCGGTCAGTTCCCGTATTTGACCGTTTATTTTGAGGGAGAAAGAATAGAAAGAATTACCCCGACGCATGCAGACGAACTGACATTTTATTCTACGCACATCGCAGATGTAGCTAAATCACCCAAGAAAAGATTCCCATCTGAACATCTGAGCTGGACACTGCTCAGCGCAGCTCGCTGTCAGCGCGTACATAAGGTACACAGCGAGCTGAAGATGTGGAGAGGGGCTTGGAGCGCATCGCAGAACTGAAGCGCACGCGGGAAGGTGTGAAGCGAGTGTTTTCCAAACCCGGTCTCTCAGAGAGACTTGTCACTTAGAAAATGTTCCCTGATTATGAAACTTTGGCTGAATAGTGCTTGTTCCTGTCTCCAATGTGGCGACACATCCAGGAGGAGAATCTCACATCCTCTTCAGCTCAGGAAGCGCCTATGATTACGCACAAGCGTGACCCGTCAACCCGGTCTCACAGTAAGACCGGGTTGGACCTGTTCAGGTTTACGCAGACAATCTTTACATTTAGAATTAGCTTACAGATATAAAATTAATTCAGTAAAATATAAAGCATTTTATTTAAATATCCATTCATTATTTTACAAACACAGAGAGCCGTATCTGATTCAGATCAGCGGGAAGATCATTCGGAGGAATCTTCCCGCATGCGCTCTGGTTCTGCGACGCACTCCAAGCCCCTCTCCACATCTTCAGCTCGCTGTGGACCTTATGTAGTGCACGCTGACAGTGAGCTGCGCTGAGCGGTGTCCAGCTCAGATGTTCAGATGGGAATCTTTTCTTGGGTGATTTAACTACATCTGCGATGTGTGTAGAATAAAGTGTCAGTTCGTCTGCATGCGTCGGGGTAATTCTTTCTATTCTTTCTCCGTCAAAATAAACGGTCAAATATGGGAACTGTCCGGTCAACACAAGCCCTGCTTTTAACTGTTCTGTTTTCTTGTGAAAATTGATCAAATTAAACTTGATTAACACCAGAGCCAGGCGCACTGCGCCGTTATCTCCGTCGCTGTAAATGAGGGAAAAACAAAATGATCGGATCCTTTTCTGACCTTCCCCACCTACAAAGTTTAATTACAACAATCAAACGTGACAGAGCCTGGATTTGTATTCTGAACAGTCTAAACATGTTTTAATAAGAAACGTATGACAAAAGTGGCACCTGCTCAGTAAAACCACCAACAGGGTGAAAAATATCTAAATATTGTCGGCAGAGACGGGCTACAACTTCTGGATCCACTTTAAATAAATCATTTTATTGATTATCTTCTTATGAAAGATAACTTTGACGTACACGAGCGACCGGTACCGGCTGCTGTCACCTGTTGTGAGCAGCACTCTGTCTGAGGGGGCAGGTACTGAAAAAAGGGTGGAAAGAACTTCCAGCTGCGCTGAGACGAGTCGAGCTATGCCGAGTAGGTCCTGATGGAAAAGGCCCATGTGTAGAATCATGACATCTGACCTTAATCTTTACTGGGTGAGGCCTGTAGGGCATCTGGGTTCCCTCTGTCTGAGGGTAGGCCCCGCCCACAACACCGCGGCTGCTGTGGCTCCCAGTGTTTTCTTTACTGTGGGAAACGGGTAATAATGGCTCTCTGATGGGAACAGGTTGCCGACCCCTGGTTTAAGTGTTTCAATTTTTTTTTAATGAATTCGATTAAAAATAAAGGCGCCCGGCCCGTGTCCGAGGTAATTACACAGTCGTTGGCCCGAAGCCCGGCCCGAGGGCCGTCGGGCCGGGCCGACCCGAGGGCCTAGGGCTTCAGTGCAGGGCTCTACTCAGCTTCATAACTAATCTTCTCTGTTTTTACTCAGGTTATCATTGAAAGTGAAAATCTGGTCTGAGGTGAATAGACGTGCCTCTGGCACTTAGCATCTTTTGTGGTACTTTAGTTTTAAGAACATCTGATTCCATGAAAAACGTTAAAACCTCAGTTTGGTTGTAAAGAGGAATTTTTAGTGAATGTGACGTTCACCAGCTCTTTGTGGAATGGTGGGAGTCTCTGATGTTCCACGTGTTTCCAAGGGTGTGGTCCGGTGGGCTGGGCCAGTCCCCTGAAACTCTCCTTATATTCTGTTTCCACGGAGACTGGGTGTATCTTAAATTGAGGGACTGATCTGTTGTTGGAGAACAGCGCCTACAGGACAGGGTCAGAGGTCATTCAGTCAACAAAAACAAGCAGGGTGATTCTGCTGAACTTAGAGCTTGTGGGGATGATGCCACCTGGTGGTCACTCTGAGGAACAGCATCGTCCCGCTGCTGTTACTGACTTCCAGCTAAAACATCTGCAGTCTGAAATAGTTTTAATGTCTAACTTCAGGTTTGCTGTTGCATTTTTTTAGACAGGCTGTGTATAAATAGCAAAAGCATAAAATGTATAAAACATTTAACAAATTACAGACCTGTTTCTCTTGTATCCCAGTTCTCTAAAATCAGAGAAACGCAAACTGCTCTCGAACAGTCAGCACGGTTTCAGAAAAGAAAGATCGACATCTCTGGCATTGTTAGAATTAGTTGAAGAAATCTCAAATGCAATCGATAATAAAAGATATGCAGCAGGAATATTTATAGACCTAAAGAAAGCATTTGATACCATTGACCACAAGATTGTATTTACAAAACCAGAGCACTGGTATTAGAGGAGTGGGACTTAACTGGATAATTAGTTACTTAAAGAATAGACAACAGTTTGAACAAATGGGTGAATATAAATCAGCTTACAGGGATTTTAATTGTGGTGTTCCTCAAGTGTCAGTTTTAGGGCCCAAAACGTTCATAATCCATATAAACGACAAAAATAATTACATTTATATTATTTGCAGATGATACCAATGTTTTAGTTCTGGGGAAATTTTACAACAACTTACAGACAATAACATCAGAAATTAATCGTTTAAAACTGTGGTTTGATATGAATAAATTGTCGATAAATTTAAGTAAACCAAAGATTACAAATACAAATATTGGTGGATAACAGGTATTGAACGGGTGCATGAATATACATTTCTTGGTGTTATGCTGGATCTTAAAATTAGCTGGAAGCCTCACAGCAAACACGTAAAAACAAAAGTGGCTAAAAGTTTTGCTGTTATGGCGAAAACGAGACATTTGCTAAACACTGAATCATAACAAAGCATCTACTGTTCACTGGTTGCATCATATTTGAGTTATTGTGTGGAGATCTGGGGAAATATATACAAAAGCACTTTACAACCACTTTGTACGTTTCAAAAAAAGCTGTAAGAACCGTTCATAAAGTGGGATGTCTGGAGCACACAAATCCATTATTTAGTTCATCTAAAATCGTTAAATTAATGGATCGTGTCCAATTTAAAACTGGACAAATAATGTACAGAACAAGAAATAATCAATTAGCAGAAAATATTAAGTGTTTTTTTGACAGGCCTGGGGTTATGAGTTAGGAGGAGAGCAGTACGTACAGCTATGAGGCACATGTGCATGGTGGTCTGTGGAGTGAATTAGTGGAACAGATAAATGTTGTGTGACTTTAGATCAGTTTAAAATACTGCTATACAAAAAACCCTACTGCAAAGTACATGGATGTAACACAGCTTGGAGTGCTCGGTACGGGGGTGTTTTGATGGGTGAGGTTTTTATTTATTTATTTTTATTTAATGAGACTTTATGTATGATCGAAGATTATTTAGACATGGAGAGTAATTGAATTGTAGCCATCGTCGTCTTCCTCCGCTTATCTGGGTCCGGATCGCGGGGGCAACATCCCAACTAGGGAGCTCCAGACCGTCCTCTCCCCGGCCACCTCCACCAGCTCCTCCGGCAGGACCCCAAGGCGTTCCCGGACCAGATTGGAGATGTAACCTCTCCAACGTGTCCTGGGTCGACCCGGGGGCCTCCTGCCGGCAGGACATGCCCGAAACACCTCCCCAGGGAGGCGTCTAGGAGGCATCCTGACCAGATGCCCAAACCACCTCAACTGACTCCTTTCGATCCGGAGGAGCAGCGGTTCTACTCCGAGCCCCTCCCGAATGTCCGAGCTCCTCACCCTATCTCTAAGGCTGAGCCGGCCACCCTACGGAGGAAACTCATTTCAGCCGCTTGTATCCGCGATCTCGTTCTTTCGGTCATTACCCAAAGCTCATGACCATAGGTGAGGATTGGGACGTAGATTGACCGGTAAATCGAGAGCCTGGCTTTCTGGCTCAGCTCCCTCTTCACCACGACAGATCGGTTCAGCGTCCGCATCACTGCAGACGCCGAACCAATCCGCCTGTCGATCTCCCGATCCCTCCTACCCTCACTCGTGAACAAGACCCCGAGATACTTAAACTCCTCCACTTGAGGTAGGACCTCTCCCCCGACCCGGAGATGGCAAGCCACCCTTTTCCGGTCGAGAACCATGGTCTCAGATTTGGAGGTCTTTGAATTATAGCAATATTTACAATTGTGTATTTTGTCAAGTCACTCGGGGTAGGATTTAATTAGCATTAGCTTCTTCCTTTTCGAGCAAATATGAAAGATTTATTCATTTTTATTGCAACTAAGCAGACTTGAGAGCTATATCTGTTTTCTTTGTTATTTTCTGGTATGTTTTGTCTGTAAATATTTCTTTTATTTCAATTTTATTTTTAACGTTCAAATAAAAATCTAATTAAAGAAATCAAATCAAACTCAGCCCTGGGACCATCCTCTTTTTTTTTTTTTTTTTTTTTTTTTTTTTTAACGTGTCCTGTCTGGCTGTGAAGCAAGCAGAATTGATGTCTGAATGCTGGTAACAAGCCTTACAGTTTTACTCTCAGGTGGAGCATCAGAGCATCTGCTTTTAATGTCTCAGGTGGAGCATCAAAGAGTCTGCTTTTAATGTCGCACCTGATATTTAAAACTTTATTGTTATTGTTTTTGAATGCTTTGTAATTTCGACCAGACACGGAGACAGAGGTGAAAGAGAAAGGAAAAGAGAAAAGGTGGGGAGAGAGGGGGTTAGGTGGGGGGGGGATTCAACAAAAATAAACAATAATGAACAAGAGTTTGCTTCTAGACCTGCAAAATGAGACGAGAAAAAAGCAAAACATAACAAAAAAATGGGACACAACACCAATATAACAAAATCAAGCTATCACTGCGTCAACTTGATGAAGAAATATATAATCAATCATTGTTTAACTAAACAGTCACACGATAATATACCACAGTGCATTGAGTGCCCACCATAGTCTTAAGACATGTGTTGAACGTGCCCAAGCCCATACTTATGAGAGCACCATGTGAGCACCTGTGTGTGTACACGCGCTTGTTTATGTAAGGTTTATCTATAGGAGCGTCCAATAGAGAGTGTGAGGGACCACAGATCCGCCCCCCAAAGACGCGTAGGAGACGGGGGGGAGCTCCAAGTCCCAGAGATCCAGGCGCTGCCCCAGAACACAGGAACCCCAAGGAGCCCGCAACCAGAAAGGCCCCCGCCCCCCTCGAGAGGCACAGAGGATCGCCCCGGGGGGCCACAACCAGCAGCCGGCAGAGCCCCGGGAGATATCAGCGGCAAGTCCTCAGGCCTGCCCGCAGCCTCCCACCCCCTAGCCGGCCGAGTCCGGGACCCAGTGACCCGGGACCCAGGGGCGACCACCCCCGCCGGGGACCCAGCAGAGCCCAGGGACCCAGACCCCCCCAGGCCGCCACCGGGATTGATCAGGCAGATGCCAAAAATCTTAAACTCCCTGACCCGGGATCCACGAACACTCAGGCAGACCAAGGCATCACACCCACACCAGGTGTGACAGGGGGGAGGGGAGACGAAGATCTATATCATCAAAGGAGGTCCCAGGAGAAGGGAGCTGGGACCATCCTCTGACTCCGGCTGCAGCTTAACAACTAAATCTTAACACGCTGCTATTTGTAAGTTTTGTTTATTGTTTATTTAATTAGGAAATCCCTCAGAGGAAAATAGTCGTGGTCATGGTGGAACAAAAACAATAACAGTGTAAAAAGACCAAACTAACTAAATGTGACTCACTCTCACCTGTTCAGCAGTCAGTAGTGGCGAAGCAGCAGGTGCAGGTTTTTTCCACCCAAACTGTCTACTGTACTCTGACCTTTGACCCCGTGACCTGAGCCCCACATTCCGTGTCGGCGTCAGGTCAGCCTGCAGCACAAGTCTATGAGAAGCTGCTTCTCTGGGTATTTCATCAGGATGCTGACAGGTTTCAGGTGGCTCACCTGGTGTGCTGATGGCTGCTGCTGCTCAGTGGGAGCTTCACCGTTCACCGTTCTGCTGGGCTGTGACTGGCTACCAAGCTCTGATGGGCGTGGCTTCCCTGAGGGGACAGAACAGCTGTAAGCAGACAGGCAAGACATTGAAAATATTTATTTAAAAGTTTGCTATTTTACCTGCTTCTGCACCAGTCGCAGGTCTCACTGCCGATTTAGAATCTGGTGTTCCTTGAGTTCTGGTGTCTGCAGCAGGTCGTGGTCCTACGGGAGTGTCCGGCACTGCTGGAGATCCAGGAGGCAGGGGTGCTTTTGCGTTTGGGGAACGTTTCTTCATGTTGGCTGGGTGGTTTCTGGAAGCTGGAGAGGAACTGATTAGCTGACTGTAGCAGAAACAAAAACATGTTTGCAGCAGTTTGTTACCGGGGGGAGCACCTGGATTCATGACTGGATCTCACGGGTCAGAGGGTGAACATCTAACCCCTGAGCCATCGTTGCCTTTAAGCCCAGACCATTTTCGGCCATCTTAGCCAAATTCCTCGTCGTAAACACAATCACGTAAAAGTAATTTGTAAGTCTGTGGCCGTCCAGTGGGACCGGCTCTTGGCAGCTTTTTAAGCCGTCTCACGACCAATGTCGGCCTCCAACAGTCCACAAGCACGCTAGAAAGGGAAATACTCTGACCTAAAACATTTATGTGGTGTTTCAATAACTTAAAGAGCAAATTGCAGCTTAAATTTTATTTTGATTTCATATAAATTGCTATCTAAAAAATACTATTAGAAACACTTATTATGTGCATTTTGTTTACAATACATAACAGCCCCTTATATTGAGTAGAAGTGGTAAAAAGCTTCTAAAAAGGCTTTTTAAAATCATCTTAAACTCTGGCATAATGAGGGGGTTATAAGCTAATCCTGCCTGAAGCTCAGTGTGGCCAGTAGGAAGTTTTCAGGTAGATAGCAGGGCCGGATCAGCGTTGCAGGGGCCCCTGGGCACAATGCTTTTTAGATTTCATAACATTGTCAATAACTAAGTAAGTACCCACAGAGGAAACACTGCAGGTAAAACCTAAAGAGATGAAGCTAACAAGTTAAAAACCAAATTCAACATGAACACCGGATAAATAAAGCACTTTGTTTGGTTTTCTTGTTTTTTATTTGACTATTTTGCTGTTGTAGCATCACACTTTATAGCGCGACGACTGCAAATGAATTATGACCAATAAGATGTGATGATGGGCTGAGCAGTGGCGCAGTGGTTAGAGCTGTTGCCTTGCAGCAAGAAGGTCCTGGGTTCGCTTCCCGGCCTGGGATCTTTCTGCGTAGAGTTAGCATGTTCTCCCTGTGCATGCGTGGGTTCTCTCCGGGTACTCCAGCTTCCTCCCACCGTCCAAAAACATGACTGTTAGGTTTCTCTAAATATTTGCTCAAAGGAGGCTCTAACCTGCAGTTTGCCTTTTAACAGATTTTACATATTCCTACCAGCAGTGGGCGCTCTTCTGTCAGCTATAACAGCTGCATCATGTGCAGGACAGAAGCGAGAGCTGCAGGACCGGGCTGCACCAAGTGAACTGGGCCTCTTCCGATGCTGGAGACCTGGTTCTCTACAGATCCCTGCAGGAACGTAGAGAAAGTTCAGAAATGAGCCCCAACTTCACAGCCACACAGATTTTGAACTGTTTGCTATGTTTGGGATTAGAGCCTTGCACTGAAGCCCTAGGCATGACGGCCCTCGGGCCGGGCTTCGGGTCAACGACTGTGTAATTACCTCGGACACGGGCCGGGCGCCTTTATTTTTAATCGAATTCATTAAAAAAAATAGAAACACAAATGCAGCAGTAGAGCCCTGCGCGGGACTGTTTTCTTCATCCCGCTCCTGCCCGCTCCCGCTGAATTTCTGACCATTACCGCCTGCAACTGCAACGTGTGTGTTACACTCCCGCCCGCACCCGTAGCGTGCATGTCTACTCCCGCCCGCAACCGCAAAACTCGGAGA